TTAGTTTTTGTCACTATTTTATGGTCTACCATTAGCTGCATAGACAGTCCAAATGACGGCTTCGGCATGGCCAAAGAAGCCGTCATATTGAAATGGGAGAAGTAACTGAATAAATTTTTTCTTCTTAACGAAATTCTATAACACTGCTGTAAAATGTAGTCAATAAGCTAAACCCGAACCCTTACCTGTTCATCACAAATAGTCTGTCGCTGACTGACAACAATGCTTTCTCTATGGAAAAACGATGCGATAATACTAACAGAAAGATTACCTGCAGTAATAAGCAAAAAGTTATGCTACCATCTGAATGTGAAAGCAAAAAAGTTAAGACGACACCTTATGCAGCTGTGAATGACTTCTGATAACTTGAGATTGACTGTTTCACACACATAAATCTTTTTATCATATAATGCTTCAAAAATTGTGCAATCTGAAATCTTTTAATATACTCGTTTTTGTCAAGGTTCAAACTGTGCTCTTCATACTCTTATTTCTATGATAACAACAGACAACATTTGTCCTTAAAAACCAGAGTTTACGTATAGCTAAAATAATCTAGCTAGAAAAAATCAGATTTGTTTTTTCAATTCTTTATTGTACATTGCAAAAGAAAATTAGATACATAAGTTGAAAAGTTTTAGCTAGAAAGTTAGTTAAAGGTTATATTTCCATCATTAATTACCTAAACGGTTGAAATACTTTATTTTTTTTTCTTTAGATATTTGTACAAGATCACTGACTTCAAATCAGTTTTTATAGAAGGAAAAACCTTTTCACAAAAAAATAAATCTGTCGGTAACAGTTTGGTGAACACTATCTATTACAATACTTTGATACACTATTTGTTACAAAAATATGCATAAAATATGGTGAGTATAAAATGCGGTAAAAACCAGTTGCAAAAAAAAAAACCTTTTTTCTTTTTAGATTTTGGAGAAAAATCGAAGAAGGAAAAGCGTTTAATGATAATTGTATGGGGCACTTTATTGGCAAAAAAAAAAAAAAGTCAGGGTAGGGAACAACAG